AAAAAAAAAAAAAAAAAAAAAAGGAAAAGGAAGCTAAGTACCTAAGAATATTCAAGAACCATCCTATATGTAGACACAGTAATACCTAGGATCTGTAGAAACTGCACTTGATGTCTGGAACAGAAAATATCTACAATAGCCAGTTTTCACAATTAAATGACACTTGGGTTTCACAACTGGAGCAGAAAATTAATATGTTAACAGATTAAGAAGTGAGCTAAGTCAGATTAAGAAGTGAGTTAAGTCTTAGAGCTAAGTTGAAGAATGTTTTATTTTTAAGATGGGCAATTGCATAACTTTTCATGAGTCTCAGGTAAAGGGCAGAACTGCAACCAGAACAGAATGTCACAGTCACAAACTCACAGAGCTGCAGCCTGCTATTTCTCTACCCATAAGTGTACCTCTATTCACCCAGAAGCCACAATCGCTCTCGCCAACCAAAATAATGTACACAAAATGCACAGCATCAGTTGCTCAGACTATTTTAATCATTCCCAGCAGCAGCGAGAAACACAGAACAGCCATTCATTCTAACACTGTACCTTTAGGCAAAAGATTTTGTGCAATACAAACAAGAAACCAATATTCAGAAGTGACAATTCCATATTTCTAAACACTAACCACACAATTTGCTTCAATTTTTCTTGCTCTAAATTGGGTTCCAAAGTTGGGACAATACAAAATAATTCTTGAATTATTAAAGTTCAGCCAAATACAGGGAAGGAAGATATTAAATACTTCCCCTGTATCTGAACACTGTAACAGTAATTAGATTTGTTTTGACTTCTCTTTAAGATCATGTTTTGAGACTGTTTAATAAATATTCTGACAAGGAGAAAAGATTGGTGTTTTCATGGACATTGAAACACATACAGATGGCAGACTTCTATTCTGTAAAAATATATAATAAATGAGACATGTATACATAACATCTATATCTGCACATGTGCACATTAGAAATCATATTTATAGTTAGTATGCATGTGTGGTTGCTTTCTTCAGTTTTCTTATATTACCCACATAATTTCCAGTAACTTAAGACTAATACAGCTGCTTTTACTAACCACATAAAAAATAGGACCTTTCTTGATTAAATATGTTGAGTCGTTAAGTGCCACCCCAACGTGAAGATTTTCTAACATGTTTTGTAGTAACATGAAAATGCAACCAAATGTACAAACTATGCAATCACTTTTCTGAGACTTTTTCTTTTAAAAACAATTCTGGAATCCTCTTTTCTTCAATATTATTTAATATTCACTCACTCCCAAATGAAAAAATAAAAATTGGATTTGTATGAAGTCACAGAATTACATGATTATACCTCACAACGCTTACAACATGGTACAAAAAACTCTCATTTAATGTTTAAAGTTAGTTTTCCTGGAAAACAAATAAAATTATCAGAAATTACATTTCCAATACAAAACACAGAAACACCCAGATAAAAATGTTTTATGTATCATCTCATCTCAGTCAGCATCATTTTCTTCTCCAGAAACAGAACAAGTAAAATAATCAAGAAGTCTGGGCATAATCACGTTGTAATTACATAAAGCTTGACTATGTCTCCAAGTGCATTTCTCAAAGTGCTACCAAAATGCAAAACCACGTTGTTAAATATAATAGTTTAGTTTCAGTTATGTGATGACATACACAGGAAGGAAGATGGCAGCTTATTTGCTCCGTCCTCACCTCACTGTGAGAGTGCAGGGTTCCACTTTTTGATGAAAAAAATCAGCACTAATGAATAGCTGAAAAAGCATAATTGTGTGTGGAATACCGGAGCTATTCACCGAGGGAGAAATGAGAATGGACTTACTCCTTCTACAGAGATCATTTTTAGACCAGCCTTTTTATTCTAAGGAATGAAGCAATCTATCTACATCTTGAATGATAAATTCTCTACTTGTAAAAGGCTTCATTTATCACAAACAATGAAAAAAATATAGAAAGAAAAATCAATACGTGTAGCAGTTTAGTCCAGCAAAGGCCTTTCTTAAAGAGAAACCTCAGTCAAGGTTGAAAGAGCAATTAATGCAGTCTCAAAAATCTGGGCCA